TTTTGAGTTTTTTTTCAAGGTTTTAAAAAACGCGTAAAGATTTTCACACATTCATATTAAATGTTTCGTTTTCCTCTCCAACCAATATGAGATCTCACAATTCCGAACGAGTACCATATGCACTCTCTCCAACCAATATGAGATCTCACCATTCTTATTTAAGCCGTTAAAGAACCAGTACCATACTCACTTTAACCATAAAAGAGGTGAAGAATATATATATATAGTTTAAGAATCTTCTTCTTCCCTTCATTTCTAAGATTGATCGATAGTAATTTAGTCACGTTTTCATTTATTTAGAATCACGGTTCTTTTTAAATCATTTTTATTCCCTTACTTTTTCAAACCGATAAAATAAAAAATAATTATTTAAATTTTTTACTTAAAAAGTTTATAATAATATTAAAATGTGTCTATTCGAAAGAGGTTTCCACACCTTTATAATAACTAAGGTTTAATATATATATATATATATAATATAATATAATATAATATAATATAATATAATAGATAAGATATTAATTATTATTTTAAAAATTAATAACGATAATAATCAACATTAAATGAAAATATAAATTCAAATTTGACCGAATATAAATAAATTATTTAATTAATCATCTTTCTTACGTTAGTTTAAGAATAATAATAAAAAAAAAGTGGCTGGGTTGACTTTGGATTAAAATTCCCTATTTTTTTTACTTTTCCAAAAAAAAAAAAATTAATTAAAAAAATGTCTTTTTAAAAAGTCAATGAATTTATTTGTACTTTTTTTTGTCTCAATTCTATGAACCAATTAAATAAATATATTCATTGGCTATCTTAAAAAGAGGACTGCAATTATTATTATTATTATTATTATTATTATTTTAATGATGGGTTTTATATATATTTTAATTTAAAAATGAGTTAACTATATAAAATGTCAACCCCTACTTCCTAGGTTCTTTTTAGTCTTCGATAATCATTTAATAAAGGATTTATGTGTTTTAATATTTAGTTCTAACTCACTGTCCGTTGATATTGTTCGTTTTGATCTGTTACGTATCACCGTTAGCCTACTGTTATAGGGGGTGGATTGTTCATATAAAGAATGTTTCATTGTCCAAGCTTACCGTTGGTCGATATTGTCAATTTTGACCTATTACGTATCGTCGTTAGTCTATTCTTATAAGAAATGTTTTGGAGCTCGTCCTGATAAGGAATGTTTCGTTTATCTCTTCAATCAATATGAGATCTCACAATTTACCCTCTTAGAGGCCAACGTCCTCTCGAGTATCCTTATAAGGAATGTTTTGTTTATCTCTCTAACTAATGTGGGATCTAACAATCCACCCCCTTGGGTCCCATCGTCTTCGCTAACATTCCGTTCAGTGTCTTAACTCTAATATCATTTGTAACAGCGCAAACTCATAGCTAGCAGATATTGTCCGCTTTGGTCCGTTACATATCGTCACTAACCTTTCGATTTTAAAATGTGTCTACTAGGGAGAGGTTTCCACACTCTTATAAGAAATATTTTGTTCCCCTCTCCAACCTATGTGGACGAATGTTTCGTTCCCCTCCCTCTAACCTACGTGGAATCTTACTCTTTTAATAACAATCCTAAAATGGTCGTCGTCTAAAATAATACATTAATCTTATTCTTCATATAAATAATATAAATATTTGAGTTTTTTTCTCTCTCCGTGTAACGTCCCATGCCAAAATTCAGAATTTAGATTATATAGCTTCGACATTCTCTTGTGACATGATCACGTTACCTACTCCTCGCTTCTTATTGAATATTATTCCCCACAGACCAAACAATCCGAAGTGCTTTTCTTGCATATTCTTGATAAACCAGCGTTTATATATACATATAGGAAGATCTGTTTGGGAAGTAAGCAGCCCCTTTGACATCTCTTCGTCTGCAAAGAATTCTCGATGCGAAAACACAGAGACAAAAGGCTGATCTCTGAATAGGAAAAAGAGTGGATCTACAGGATCCCAAATGAATTTACTTATTCGAAAAAAAGTCTTGTTCGTTGGAAGATCTATCTCGTGTCTGGTACTGCACGGTTCCACTCTACAAGAACTCTAAATCATTCTCTTTCAGATATCTCAACACGAGTTTTTTCAGCATATTTTGACCTCACTCACATGCATAAAATTCTTAAGAGATCGCCCAATATAAAACTGCTTAAAGTTATATATATAATAACTCTTATTTTTGGTCATCATATCTCGAGAATCACTCTATATTTTACTTTAAATTAAATTTGGTGAGGTGTAATAAAATTATTAAGTTTTAAAATTTTTAAAAGGGTTAAAAAAATTAATTTTATCATAATATTAATAGTTATTATTAAAGATTTATAGTAGTAAAACATATTAAATAGAAATATATTATACCTCAACTATTTTTATAACTTTGCATACTAAATATTTTAAAAAAATATATTCGTAAATATTAAAAAATTAGAAATTTTGTTAAATGTTTAAAAGTATTTTCTTTTTTATTTTTGGAGGGTAAATTACAATAAATAGTCGAAAATAAATATAAGCTTAAATTTTGTTACCAAAACGAGAATAAAATATGGGACCCACCCCAAATTCGTCATTTTCATTTTCAGCTAAAATTAATAAAAAAAAAATAATATTACAATAAAATTGAATAATTTCTTGATCTTTCTCCTTATAATTGGTCTTCTATTTAAAAAAAAATGGTAAAATTTAATAATGTCAAATAAAATTAATTAGTATTTAATAAAATAAAATAAAGTAA